AGCAAGCTGGCTGCAGGACCAAGCCCCAAGGGACCGCCCTGGGTCCCTAAGAAGCTTGATTGGAAGAGGGAAGTCCCAGGGTACCACAAAGCCTTTCAGAGGGGCAGAAGTAGGCCTGCCTTGGACAGCCCCCAGGGATGGCAATAGGGTGGCGGGGGTGAGGGCAAGGAAGAAAGAGCTGCCGAGCAGACCACCCTGCCCAGCCACAAAGTGATTGGCAGTCAGCTCCCTGCCCTGGGACAGGCATGCTGCAGCCAGAACTGGATGGTCAGGAACTTCCCAGCCGACCCAGGGCCCAGCCCTCCTTGAAGGTCTAGGATTCTGTGGCTCCTGACCCTCTGCCTGGTGGCCGCACTGTTCCGCTGCATCTCTGCTGGGCTCATCCAGGAGGCAGGCAGAGCTGCCAGGAGCCAGAGCTCCTCTCCTATCCTTGGAACATGGCCTTCCAGAGCCCTGGGCCATGGGGTGGAGAGGACCGTGTGTGGGGACCCTTATCACGGCATCTACCAGGTCCTTGAGCCCAGGGGTCCAGCTGTTCTCATGGAGGTCCCCAGAATGTCTGGCCCTGAGGTCAGGGAAGCCAACTGGGCAGGGGTGGGGGGAGAAGGCTGCGTTGCCCAAGCCCTTCCCAGTGGGGCCGAGGCGGTCATGGGAACCTGTCATGGGAAGCATAAATCCGCTGGAGGCCGCCACCCCCTCACCTTTCTTTAGCTGCTGAGGCCACCCAGGGTGAGATCTGAGGCTGAGGCCTCCGCTAAGGAGGACTTCTAGTCCTACTCCTCTCTGTGATAATTACCCCAAGGAGCTTTGGGGTGCCCCATGGGTATGGGGTGGTTGGGGAAGGTCCAGGGTAGAGGGTAGGGAAGTCTGGAAATCACACAGTCTGATTGTGTCGCCTCTTGCCAGTGTGTCACTGTGGGCTCTGCCGTGGGATTAGGCTCCAGGGTAGAGACGGGACTCGTGGGGCTCATCTTTGGGGGCTGGACTCTGGGTCAATCAGCTTCTGCATGGAGATGCAATGGAGGCGCCAAGAGCTGAAGTGGGAGCTTTCCCCCCACCCCCGACCTGCCTTTCCCCAGCATGCTCTGCGGCCTGTCCCTGGAGGGCCCCAGCTGGCTCCCGGAGAATTTTTTAATCAGAGGGGGCGGGAGTCCAGCAGCTGAGGCCTTGAGCTGGGAGAAGAAAGGCCGCTGGCTGCCTCTGTGGGCGGTGGCAGTGAGAGGCAGGGTTAGTGAGCTGCTCTGGGGAAGGGGTGGGGCTGGGAGAGGAGAAACTGGGAGTTGAGGGTAGCGGCAGGGAGGAGAGCCAAGCATCCCGCTGTTTGCTCTGGGGTCTTGGGAGAGCAGGAGTTTGGCTGAGAGGTCACCTTGGATAAGCCAAGATTCTGGGGCTGCCAGGGCCCCTGGGGGATGAGAGTATTGGCAAGGAGCCCAGGGGTCCAGCGGGAGCCTAGATGAAGGGCTATGGCTGGAAGGAGATGCACCTGCCCCAGGTATGGAAACCCAACCAAGTGTCTTGAGGCTGAAGGCCAGAGACAAAGCGACTGCACCCCAGTGGCGTCCTGAGATGTTTTAATATGAGAAATACTCAAGCAGGGTGTGTTGGATGAGTATCTAAGACCCTAGAGGCCCACAACAAAGTAGCCGAGTTCCAACACCAGCTCCTCCTAGGCCACAAGCAGGGAGCTGAATGGGGAGTGGAGCAGCTGGGACACGGACTGATCCCCACATGGGATCTCAGTGCATACAAGGGGAGAATTAGCCAATTGAGCCATTGCATTGGGCCCCAGACTAATTTTTTTTAAATGTTGTTTCTGAGATGAAAATGTTCTGGAAGCCTACAGGACACTTCTTCTAAACTGAAGGCTTTCCTGGCCTCCTATGACCAACCCCGTCGAAGCGGAAGGGCCTGGAAACAGAGTGTGAGGAGTAGGGCCCACAGGCTGGGCCCCCGTTGCACATGGGGGCTCTCCAGGGTGCAAACATGAAGGCCTGGGCTCCACACGCTGCTGCTGCCTTCAGGCCTGGCTGCTGGGTGAGGGAAGGGTTTGGGGGCTCGCTTACAAGCTGCCCTCCTTGTTGAGCCCGCACCCTCTCTGCAGGCCTCTGGCTTCTTCCTGGGACCAGCCTGGCTGTGCTACAGGCAGCAGAGTGCAGGTGGCAAGTACAACCCACAAGTGCAAGGAATTTCTGCCACAGTCCTGACTTCAGCCCAGACTTGATCCTGGCCAAGGCACTCCATGCCTGGGCATGGGTCCTGGGTGTGATCAGCCACGCCCTTCAGGAGCCCCTCTGAGGTCAATGGTGCCTTGGCTCTGCCAAGACCTCTGTATAGTTTTTCGTCTCCAAATTCTTGCTGTCATTTCTCACCTGCTTCACCCCTCTTTGTCCTTGAGAGTTTATGTCTTTCTTGTTCCATTGCTACCTTTAAGAAGCTTGGGGTGCTTGGAACACAAGTGCCAAGGGGATGTGCTGGAGGGACAAGTGGAAGGGGGTGATGAGACTGGGCCATGTGGCATGTAAAGCCCTGTGCCCCACACGCTCTGCCCTCACCTCAGACAAGCCTTGACCAGGCTCCCCAGCCCAAGTGAGTTAATGTCTTGGGCTACAAAATCTTCTTCTTTTTTTTTTTTTAAAGATTTATTTTATTTTTATTGGAAAGACGGATATACAGAGAGGAGAGACAGAGAGGAAGATCTTTCGTCCGATGGTTCACTCCCCAAGGGACCACAACAGCTTGAGCTGAGCCAATCCGAAGCCAGGAGCCTCCTCCAAGCCTCCCACATGGGTGCAGCCATCCTCAACTGCTTTCCCAGGCCACAAGAATGGAGGTGGGTGGGAAGTAAAGCAGCCAGGATGAGAATTGGCACTCATATGGGATCCCTACGCGCTCAAAGCAAGGACTTTAACCACTACACTATTGCATCGGGCCCTCAGAATCCTGTAAGACATCAGAAGGATGGCAAGGTCCTTCTTCCTGTGTCACATGTGGGCCTGGAGGAGGTGGGGAGCAGGAGAGGGAAGGCTGGGGGTCAAGGATGGGAGGATGGGGACCGAGGACCTCATCTATGTGGTCGCTGCAGGAATCTGGGGAGGGATTGGGTCCATGGCTGCCAGAGCCACCGAGACAGAACATTCTGGAGTGGAGAGGGTGGGGCCTGCCACCCCATCCTGGGAGGGAGGGTGGCTTTCCAGAGAGGAGACTACAAGGTATGGGGTCAGGACACTCAGGGTTAGAAGGAGGAGGGTCTGCTCTTGGCTCTGCAGCTGCCAGCTTCCTGCTCCTGGGCCCACCATGGAGCCCCTCCTGGCCTCAGGGTCCTGTTCTGTACAACGGGGACAATGCTGCCCCTCGCAGGCCTGTGTGAGGGTGCAGTGGATGGCCCTGTGCCCCACACGCTCCAGGTGTTTCGGGTATCAGCAAATTCATGACACCTTGCAGTCCTCTTTCCCTGCTTCTCATAAAGGCTTTTTTTTTTTTTTTTCCGTCTTCTGAGAAGCAGAGGCTGGCAGGTAGCAGTTGCGTGGGTGAACGCCAAGCCCCCTGTGTGAGCCAGCATAGAGATGGGCAGGACCCCCAGGGTGGCGGGGAGGGCTGGTGGGGCAGCACTGCACACAAGGTCACAGCCTCTTCCGGCCCAAAGGCAAACTCTGCACGCTCCCATCCCTGCAGTCTGGAGGCAGGTGTGGCTGAGAGGGATGGCTGGCTAGATGGAATCATGGCGAGTTTTGTAAAAACGAGGCTGCTTCGAAGCTCATCCCCAGCCTCTTGCCACACACAGGCCTCCCTGGAGAAAGTTCTCAGTGCAAGGGAAGTGACTTAAAAGGACAGAGGCAGGGACGTGCCCTTCCCATAGCGTCAGCTGCAGGCCCAGTTCACAGCCTGCTGATAAACTGACCTCCTAGAGGGCAGAGGTGGGGGGTGGGACCGGTTGCTATGTTCCCATGACAACCCATCTCGCTGCCATAGCAACGCAGCTCTGCCTGGTCTTGCGCAGCACTGATTGCCGGAGCCAGTGGCCACACCACGCTGCCTCTCAGTATGGGCATGGGTGGAGCCCTCCCAGCCCAGGGAAGTCCAGTCCTTTCTTACACAGAGCAGGATGGGATGCCCAGGGCTGGCACGGTGAATGCCCATTAGTTTTTTTCCTGGCAGAGCCTCCTCCACCCTGGCCCTAGGGCCCCCAGGAACACCCTACTAGGCTGAGTAAAGAGTGGAGATGTGGGGGCCGTTGACCCAGGCGTCGCTAGAGTGAGGAGGTTTGCCACACCCCCGGCTGAATGCCTGGAGTGAGTTGTCTGGACTTCAGGTTCCGTGAGTGAGGATGCGAGTGAGGGTGCCCATCCCCAGGGCGGGTGTCACAGAAGGAGAGCAGCAGCAGCCTCAGTGTGGGATGCCGCTGGAAGGGGAGTGCCGGCCCTTCTGAGCCACAGCTGGGGACTGTGGTCCAGGCACCTGTTGGTCAGGGTGGACCGCATGCTCGTCCTGATGGGGCTTCCCACGTGTCTCAGCACCTGTTTGGAATCCCAGAGCGAATTTAAGGGCCTGCTCCCTCCCTCCTACCCAGGGGCTGCCCAAAACATGAGCTGTGGTCCACTCGGCCTCAGGACCTCAGGAAGCAAGGCGGAGAGATGAAGAACGAATTTTTAGACATTTGTGTAGGCGTTTGCTAGGGTGGAAACGTCCAATCAGAGATTTCTTTTTTGTTATTAAAAAACAAACAAAAAAAAAAAACCCCGGACTTTTTGTATTGCCTTTTAAACGTGTGTGCGTGTGTGCATGTGAGCATGTGTGCATGTGGGTGGGGTGTGTACTGATCTGCAATGGGTGGAGAAAACTTAGACTGTGCCCTGGCTGCCTTACATCCAACTGGCGGAGCAAACTACCTGCATGACCCCAGGAGCGACCCAAAGCCAGCTGTGAAGCGCTCACACCACCAATCCCACTCCGGCCACTAGGCTGCATTGCCTTTATTGCTTCAGGCCAGAAGCCCCCTACTATCAGCCTTCCCGCACCCTCGTGCGGTCGAGTGTCAGTCTGGCGGCGCGCGGCACCTGCGCCTCAGCCCCGCCGCGCGCGCCGGGCTCTTGTTCTGGCGCCGCCCGCCGCCGGCCGTAGCGCAGGCCGAAGGAGTTCCAGTTGTAGGCCGACAGGTCCTTCTCGCGCTGCACTAGCACCGCGCCCCTCGGGGCGGGGATGAGGCGGCTGCCGGAGGAGCAAGGGCCCGGCCTCTGGGGCTCCGTGGAACCCTCGGAGGGCGGGCATAGGGAGGCTCCCCGAGGACTCAGCCTGGCCGAGGCGGGTCTCCTCTCCTCCGAGCATCGCAGACCCTGCTCCCAGGGGTCTGGGAGGGTTGCCGGGGGTCCTGGCCGCTGGTCTAGAATGGAAAGCGTAGGGAGTGAGGCCGAGGGGTAGCGAACACGGCTTGGAAACACCGACTCTCACCCGCTCGCCCACATCCTATGCTTCCCTACTCTCTGTTAAAGCGGGCTGTGGCAGTGGCTCAGCAAGCTAAGCTGCCCTCTGTACGTGTATGCTGGTTCCAGTCCCAGCTGCTCCACTCCAATTCAGCTCCCTGCTAATGCTCCTGTGAAAGCAGCAGTGGAATGGTTGGAGTATTTGGGTCCCTGTCTTTACTTGGGAGACCTGAATGAAATTCCAGGCTCCTGGCTTCAGCCTGGCCAGGAGCAGTTGGTTAGAAAGTGGACCAGCAGTGGATGGAACATCTGTCTGTCTGTCTTTAAATAAACAAAAGGAAGTGTAAGGAGCAACTCGAACAGGGACCCTGAAGACTGAGAAGGCATCCTGGACCCAGCACCACCTTAAATCCCCTTAAGGCCGGTTCACCTGAGAAAGCTCCGGCCCTTTAGGATTAAACTGTGCGCTTACTCACCCAGTCCCCTGAGGCACTTATCCCAGTCCTGGAGTTGAAAACATTTTATGGTAAATGTAACATTCTGTTTTAATGGATACAACACCCCTGTCCACTCACAGCACATCTGCCAATCCCTGACCCTTCACTCCCAATACCCTCCCCCAGGCTATAAAGTTCTCTCTCTCTCTCTCTCTCTCTCTCTCTCTCTCTCTCTCTCTCAGTTTCTGCTTTCTCCCTGTCCTACAGTTACCTCTCATATGGCTCGCTTACTGTCTCTGGTACCTTGAGTTTGTGGCGAAAATAGCTAACGGGAAGTGGGGCCTATGCCTCATGCCCCCAGAGCCCTGTGTCCATCCCTGCGCTCTGTCAGCTGGCCCAGGGTTCAGTGATACTGGGAAAGTGACCAGGTCGTGCCCATCAGCACACCTGCAGCAGGGCTGGTTGCCCCCTCTCTCAGGGGATGCACAACGCTAATCAGAAAGCCCTTCACGTGCCAGACCAGCTAAGCTCCCTGCACTTTGTGGCAGTCAAAGTGGGGGCGGCGTCAGGCACCAACCCCAGCCAGCCAGGGCATGAAATTCAGAGTGCGTTGGGGACAGGAATAGCTTTGAATGTGGCTCCTCTGTACCCTGGCACTCTGAGTGTCCAGCTTAGGGTGATTGGCAGTTGGCCTTGCAGGCCACTCCCACCTTGCCCAGGTACCACTCTGCATGCAGTGGGAGGCCTGGAGCTAGCTGCTCCAGGGAACACCTGATGAAGCCCCACTCCCGATGAAGGCAGCGTCCTTGGCCAAGGCCACCTCGGGCCGTGCCCTCTGGGAGGGAGCTCTTAGGGGCATGTGTCCTGACTTCCACAGCACGTGGAGTGAGGGCCGGTGAGGCTGAGCCACAGGGGTCCACTTGCCCAGGGGGCTGCTCTCCAAAGACACGGCCTCTGGCCGGGGTCGGGTGCTGCTCCCATTAGCGCTCTGGAGGCCCTGGCACCTGCCAGGCTTCGGCAGTGCTCGATCCAGTGACTTAGGGGATGTCTCATGACTGACCCTCAATAGCCCTCAGTGTCTCCAGCTCAGCCGTTCCCCCACAAATCCTTTGCTTTAGGGTTTTGAGGTTCCCCCCACCCCTATATCCAGATTCCTCATATGGGCCCTGGAGTCCCTGATAACAGAAATCCACACACCGATTTCCTTCTCAGACGGCACAGTGGGAGGAAGGCACAGCAGAATGGGGGCATGGAAAAGCGCCGAACCTGGGCGAGCCCCCTAGCCCCCAGCTTCCCCAATGAGGCCCACCTGTGGCACCAGGCGTCTCCATGGCTGCCGCTTCTCCAGGTCTTCCCCTGAAACAGGTGGCACAGAGGGACAGCAGCAGCAGCCACCAAGCCAGTGAGCGCATCCTGGTGAGGAGAGGCAGTCCTAGCTCGGGGTGTCCTGAGGCTGAGACAGGCGAGGGATGCAGGAGCAGGTCAGCCACAGGGCCTGTGCAAGATGGGGACCAGGGTCAAAGGGTCGAGGCCTTGAAGGGATGAATCTGGAAAAAGTACATCAGCAAAGCGAGATGGGGACCACTCGCCCTGTGTAGTTCACAGCTGAGTTTCTGCTAGGTGAGAATATCCGGGAGGGCTTCCTGGAGGAAGCTTAGGCAGGATCCCATTGGCGGGAGAGGGGATGGGCCTTTTGGGTTCCAGCCTTAAGGTTGATGGAGAAAGACGGGGTCAAATGCCATGAGGGGAGCTCCCAGGGCCGGGGAGTGGATGCTGCTTCCCCTTGGCACTGACCTGTGCCTCTCTGAGTGCTGGTAATGGAAATTTAATGCTTCCTCTCTTTCAGGAAAAAGGGAAGAAAGAGGCAATCATCTTGAGCTCTCTCCCAGCCTGGTCGTGACCTTGTCCGACGTCATTCAATGATTTACCATGAGCCAGGGACAAGGGAAAACCTTGGGTGGATTTACGGGGTCAGTGGTCTCACAGAGCCCCTCGGGGCACGGGTGGACTGGGACTCCTCAGAGTTGGCTGGCTGCCCAGCTGGGAGCTGTGTGCCCTGATGTAACCCTTCAACCTCTCCTCCTTGTCTTGTCAATGAAGGAAGCTCTGAGGCACAAGGTACCCAGAGAACAGCTGGGAGGCCGGCTGGACCCTGCAGGCTGAGCCCCAGGCAGGGGGTCCCACCTGACCACTCCCCACCTCCCAGACCCTCCCCCTGCACGGGGTGCGGGTAAGGGATCCTGGCAGAGGTCACCATGAGTCCCTCTGCTCTTTTTCCCTCCTCTCCCTCAGCACACACTCCCAGCAGGGCTTAGGCGTGGGGTCTTGGGTAACACCTGCCACAGGGCATGGAGTGCATGTGCAGGCTCTATGCTTGTTCCTGGTGAGATGAGAGCCAGTCACTTCTCTGCACTTGCCCCACCCTCCCTCTCCAGGTCTTCCTGGCAGTGTGCACAGTGCACTGGCTCATGTGGCCACCAGATGCCTGCCTGCTCTGATGGCTCCTGAGCTTGCAGACAGCCTCTGTGGTAACCCGGGCCATTTGGCACCTGCCTCATGACCTAGGGATGGGGCATGGTGGAGTAGCAACGGAAGAGACCTCTGTAGAAGCAGCTCAGGCCTTCGCCACTCGGGAGCGAGTCGGCAGGGAGATCACTCCCTGAGCATTTCAAAAGACACCGCAGATGGCACAATAGGCACAGGTGAGTCCTTTGGGGAGCCCTACTTAAAAGGTCCAGCATCCCTGCATGGGATGGCGCTGGGGTGCTCAGTGTGTGTGCCCTGGGAGAACTCTACCTGTTGCTCTCTTTCTCTCTGTCTCTCTCTTTCTTTCTCTTCCTCTCTCTCTTTCACACACACACACACACACACATACACATCTCCCCCCACCCCCAGCCACTCTGTTACCTCTCCCTTCCCCAGCTCACAGCCACTGCGCACTATCACTTGACCTGTGCGGTAGAATTGTGGCAGGGACTCTGGGAGGTGATGTGCACCTGCTGTGGGCTCCAGCCCAGGGGAATGCTGCGCTCAGTGCTCATCAGGAAGTTGGGCGTGGGATCAAAGCTTTGGAAGTAGGGTAGCTTCCTTCCTGGGGTGATCTCTGTTCTGAGATGCCTTCTAGTTAAGCTTGGGTTTGTCGCCCATCACTTGGGAGCTCCCAGTGCCCTCTAACCCTGGCACAGCGTCCATTCCTTGTACATCTTCCTTCCACAGCCCAACAGGGACCTAGGTCCTGCCCTCCACATGCGATTCCTTGAGCATCCCACCCAACAGCCTTCTGGATGCACCTGTTGGTCTCAGAATGAATTCCCTGTGCCCCTCCAGTGCCTCTCACCAGCAGGGAGGGTACTCTGCAGCACGGGGGCCACTGCGTCCACCTACCTTGCCTCCGTGGGTCAAGTGGGAGCTCCGTGGGGTCTCCAAGGTGGTGAGACTCTCTGGAAGTGAACAGGAACTCGGAAGGGAACAGAATTCCTGGGCTCACTCTCCCGGCTCCCTGGTCACAGCCCTTTTATAAAGATTGGTGACGTCTCCAGATCCGAGGCCACTTCTGCTGCCTGTCCCCCTCCCCTCAGGCCCATGTGGAGAGCTCACAGCCCCCTCCGCCCTCCCCAGCATCCCCACTTCCTCCAAGGACGCTGCCCTCTACTTCTCACGGGTCCTGCCGACCTCCTCAGCCCTCTCCCCACTGCCTACCCTCACCCACTCGCATGAGTCCCATTCTGCCCCAGACAAAGACGGAAGAAGTGTGGTGGGAGCCGTGGGAGGGGTGTCAGGGTGACACATCTCGCTTCTTTCTGACAGCACCACAAAAACCCCGGGTCTAGAGAGAGCATGAGTGGAGGGCATGGGCACAGGCTGACCCCAGGGCTGCGTTGTGCCACCCAGTGGGAGGCAGAGTGAGGGCATGGGGGTTCACTCCCCTCTGCTTGCCTCAATTCCTGAGCACCTGCTCAGCAGGATTCTTTTTTAAATAAACTTTTTTTCTGGTTTATTTGAAAGGCAGAGAAACTGGATGAGAGGGACAGAGAGGGAGATTTTCCATCCTGATTCACTCTCTAAATATCCACAATTGCTGGGGCTGCATAGACCAAAGTCAGGTGTCTGAACTCAATCCAGGGGGTTCCCCATGGCTGTCAGGGGTCCCCAATACTTGGGTTGTCACCTGCTGTCTCCCAGGATATGCACTCGCAGGAAGCTGGCCAGGCGATGGGGGATGCAGGAGTCCCAAGGGAGGATGTCCCCGCAGGGCCATGTGCCTACTCTGGGGTGAGGTATTGAGGGGAACGTGACACTGTCATGAAGGCAGTTCAGTTCTGGCACCTGCTGGCCTTTGAGTGGAGAACCGTGTGGTAGCCCTGGGGAGGTGGCTGTTTCAGGGAAGCGCTAGGGAACCCGGAGACATGGATCCCGGTGGCTGCACATCTGAAGATGCCGCTCCAGTGACCTCTCCGCCTGCTGCCATGGTCTTGTGACTGCAACACTCCGAGGGCAGGGGCAGACCTCCTAGCCTTGACCTCAGCCCTGCTCGGGGCAGCAGGATGGGAGGAGGGGATAGGTGTTCACACGTGCCTGTTCTGTGGGTGACACTTGTTCCTGGGTCCCAGCACAGGAGGACTCTACAAGCATCAGGAGACCCCACCTGCTGGGTGCTCTGTCCAGGACCGACAGCTCACAGTAGAGATGCATGTGCTATCGGTCCAGTGTGTCAGTGCCCAGCGCCTGTGGAACGCCCATGGCTAGCAGGGGCTGCAGGCAATGGCGTCCCTTATTGGTGTGGATGTTACAGCTGGGAGGACAGGGCTGGCTCCAAGAGGCCACTGTCATGTCCCCTGGCAGCAGCCATGCTTTGAGATGGAAGGTAGACACTGACTCTGAGTCCCAGATACACTCACGGTGTGGGGATTTAATCTTCGTGTTTCTGCACACGAACACAGAGTGGGGCTATGACGCCTGCCCCAGCCGCTGTCCCCTTGGCCCACGTCTCTGTTCCCAGTTCTCTTGAGTTGGCTGGGAGGTCTGAGACTCAGCTCCATCCTTCCTTCCGGACTTGAGGGAAGGTCTGAGTCAGTGCTCTGTGTGTGTGTGTGTGTGTGTGTGTGTGTGTGTGTGTGTGTGTGTGGCGGGGGTGGCCCCCATTTTCCTTCCAGCTCCCTCCGCCTGTGATCCAAGTTCAAGGAGCTCATCTCTGTGGCTCAGACCATTGAACTGGTGCCTTGAAGCCTCCGGAACAGCTGTGGGAGCCAAGAGTCATTTACTGCAGACAAAGCACCGAGGGCAGATGTAATATCCAGGTTATTACAGGGCCACCCTTGAGAACCGGGAACAGCGCCAAGCACAGCCGTGCATGGGAGCTGCGGGGGATGTGTACAGCTGGCCGGCTGTGAGGTGCTGGCCAGGGAAGGTCTCCCTGGACTAACTGGGAGCTCCTGTTCTTACAGGTGCTTCAGAGAATCACGGGGAGTGGTAGGGCCTGAGGACCCCCGCCCTTGCACGCACCAAGCAGAGGTTAGGACCTGCCTCTCCCTTTTCTTGCCATCGCTGGCTGCACATACTCCTCCAAACCAGGCCTGGCTTGGCTGGCTTAGGCATTCTGGCCATATGGACAAGGCGCAGGAAAGGGGAGGGGAGCAGAAGGGGGATGGGGCACTGTGTTCCTCCCTCCCCTCGGCATCACAGCCCAGCTAAGCTGCAGGTGCAATGTACTTACCGCACTCAGAAAGGGGATGTTGGCGACATTACCCAGGAAGCCAAAGGCCACAGGGAAAAAACCCCTAGAAGTAGAAGGGAGACAGGTAGGGTAGTGATGCCCGGGAGGGCAGGGGAGAGGGCAGCAGATAGCTAGGCTTCTCGTCCCTCCTGGGAGAACCAGGCCCCTTGGACATGGTGGTGGGCAGGGCTTGACAACCTCATCTCAGGAGAAGCAGCTGAATCAAGTTTAAGAAGGAAAGTGGTTAGGTCAGCGGTCTACCCTGGCTCCACTCCCTGCTGGCAAATTCCTGCCCTTTGCTGAATACCCAGGTGCAGCTGTAAAGTGGACGTCATGGCCTTAGGTTCTGTATTAAGGGCCCTCCCACAAGGCAATGCTCAACAAATGGTTCTTGCCTTTTTCCCCTTCCTCTGCCCTCAAAGCCTTCTGCTGTCCCCGGCTGAACGTGAGGCACCTGCTCAGGCTTTTGGGGCCGGGAGTGCTGAAGGTCACGTTCACACTACCCAGGCCCGGCTTGCCTGTGAATCCCACTCACCCTGGAGTGGCAAGCTGGGGACATGTGTGTGGTCCGTGCCCTGACCTGCGTGGGAATGGGACCCCTGTACAGTGGACGAGTCAGGGGGGAGAAGTCTGACTTCTGGCTGAGCCCTGTGCCTCCATCTTCTGAGGCGGCCCTGCACTCCTGAGCTTCTCCATGGCTCTGGCAGGCAGCAGCCCAACCTCTTGTCAGTTTTACCTTTGGTTTTGAAATTTACAGTCTGCAACAAGTCCACCTCCCCCCACTTCTGAGTCCTCCATGGACTATGTGGACCATAGATTTACATCCTGTCTTCCCTCCTGAAATGCAAATTCTTGGGCACATTCCTCCCTTCCTGCCCAGTCCCCACACCTAGCCCTGTCTGGGCACAAAGCAGGTGCTCTGATGCTTTGGAGAAGTGACCCCAGAGGTCCCCACAGCATCCGGCAGAGAATTCAGCCAGGACCCACCCTAGGGCCATGGAGCTGCAAGTGCTCTGGGCCCTTCTAGGAAACGGGCTGACAACTGACGCACGGCCTCCCACACAGCTCAGTTCATCTCGGGTTACTGACGATGTCTAATACAATATCAATGATTACTGGTGGAAGCACGGTACTGTTCGGGGATACTGATGAGAAGTATCCATACGTGCGCAATACAGAGGCGAGTTTTCTCCCTACTGTCTTCCACCCACAGCTGGGTCTGCAGCCGTGGAATCCGTAGATACGGAGGGCAGTGTGGATTCCTGCTGCGCTGGGTTAAGCGGACGGCAGAAATAGCTGAAGCTATACTACATACTGTGAAGCCTGGGGCACTCAAGTTACCCTAAGCAATCTAGGGTTCCTTTCCTCTCCTTTCCACCCTGGCATGTGCCAGGAACCTTCCAGTCCCCATTGCCCATCCATCTCAACTCTGTGCAGTGCCCCATATATGCTCTGAGTCCTCCCTCCCCCGCCTGCTGTGCCCAATCCCCTTGCCCTTCTCCTGGACCCTGCCCGCCCTGCAAGGCCTGTCCAAGTCACCGCCCTCACCTCTCTTCTGGGCTGTTTCAGCCCTGTCTGCACATGACCACACATAATCACTCATGTCCACCTTGCCTGCTCCCAGGCCCAGAGCTAACACAGCCCAGCCCGAGGGCCAGAACTCCTGGGTCCTGTTTGGGTCTCTCATGCAGTCCTCTTGAGGCCCCTGGAGGGCATGGGGACTCTTCCCTGAGCACTACTGGTTTTCTCATGTGTGTGTCAGGTTGTGGGGATAAGATGTGTGCCTGGCAAATGCTAGCCTCTTGCCCTTCCTCCCCTGGCTGGGTCACCTGTGGACCTGGGGACAGGCCCTGTGCAGGGGACACAGACAATGCAGTGCTTGCCGAGGTCTCCTTCCGCCGACCCCTCAAGATGCCAGCCTCAGTCCCCCTGCCCATCCTCCCATCCTCCCAGGGCGTTCAGCTTGGGCAGCACAGAGTCCCTCCTCCCACACATGTCGCTGCTGGGTGACGCAGCTGCCTGGCCGGCGGTAGGGAAGGTGGGGTGGTGGCGCTGGCTGAGGTCTACACTCACTTGAAGAGGCAGAAGAATCCATAGGCTTCCAAGATCATGCCCAGGAGCGGCCAGCGCATGAGCACCAGGAGCACGCCCCCCAGGAAGAAGCTGGTGCCCTTGAGTTTGTGCCTCTGGAAGAAGAAGGCTGACGTCTTCCTCACCCCGATGATGAAGGAGAGGCCGGTCAGGAACAGCAGCTGTGGGGAGGGCGACGGAGGGGGAGGAGGCTGGGGGGGGAGGGGGCGGAGGGGGCAGGACTTGCTTGGTCTTCTGGGTGGGGCAATAGCAGCAGGGTAGGGGTGAAGGGGGGGTGGTGATCCAATTACATGGCAGAAGCCTAGGTCCAGAGGTGGGGGGCGTGGCCAAGCAGAACCTGGTGGGGGCGGGGGAGGGGCCCCGTCTCTGGAATCCAACCCAATTACGTGGCACCCCGTGTGTCTTCCTGTCTGGCTCCCAGGAAAGATGGGTGGAATGGGAAAAGCTCTCCACGTCACAGAAGAGGTGAGGAAGACTGGGGTAGCCCAGCCAAGGTCACGGGCGCCCTCAGGGATGTATTGCCTGGGGTCTGACCCTCCATGCCTCCACCCCGAGGCTCCGTCCATGTCTCCAGGTTGGCTAGGACCTTCAGAATGCCCAGCTTGAGTGTGCAGCCCCTCGCCAGTCTCAGGCTTACCCTCTCCTTCTCTGAGCCTTCCTTCCCCCCGCTGCCTATGCTTTGCCCACCTTTGCATCCAATTCCTTTCCAAATTGCTTCTCATCCCCTTTCCAGCTGGGAGTGCCCTTGTTTCATAGCAAACGTGATGAGCACCTGACTATGCCTTTACCACAGCCCCTGTCTTATGTGTGCATGCTACACCCTTCAGGGCATGGAGACAGCACCTGGCTCGGCCTGGTCCTTGCTCTCATGCAGGAAAACAGGGAGCCTCGGTTAACCCAGCAGGGCCTGGTCATCCATCCCCAGCAGCCTTTATTGGCCCATGCCCCGGATGGACATGGCCTGGATGAACCTGGGGCAGGTCCTCCTAGCAGTAGAGCCCTCAGGAAGGTTGGGGCATGATGGTAGTATGTGTCGGGGAGTGAGGACTCACGTTTCCAAAGGCCATGAGCACCGAATCAAAGTACAGGAGTATTCCGAAGAGGATGAAGAAGATGCCGAAGCCAGTGATGCCCACACCGAGCTCTGCAACGGGCAGGGAGGGGCGGGCTGGACTGGGAACCTCTGGCTTTGCGCCATCACCATAGGACAGTGTCTTTTGGGGCAGGGCAGCTTCATTTCACCCAGGGATGAGGTGGGGTGGGCAGGAAAGAAAGGCTGGGCACCCGACACCATGATGACCACATGCCATCCTTACAGAAACTGAGGAGAGGCGGCTGCTACCCTTGTCTTCAAATACCACACTGCCCAGGTCACAATCGGAATCTCATCCCACTGGCCTGCTCTGTTCCTGTCCTGGTGCAGCTGAAACCCCCTGCAGCCTCTGCCCCACCCCACACCTAGTGGGCAGAGGGGCCCAAGGGGACCACAGCTCCCATAAACCTGAAGGCTGCCCAGCCATCACACTCGGCTTCTCACAAGGATCTCCCATCTAAACAGTTCTCCACGCTGTCCCCTGCCTGGGAAAGCGGAGGGCACTGGTCTTCCTGGCTGGGACGTTGGTATCGTCCCTTCCTTCTGCAGCCTCTGCCTCAGTGGCCCTGGGCAGCTATGACTTGTGTCCCATGAGCAGTCTGCAGGCATCTCAGGGCCTCCTTGGGCACTGTCAGAGTTTGCTTGCAGTCAGGAAGCCCAGCAGAGCTGTGCCAAATGCGCATGGCCAAGGTCTGCTGTCTTCAGATGTGCGCACATATTTCCTCTCCCCTCAGGAAGAGGTGAACCAGCCCAGGTTCCTGGTTCCTCCAATGTCACTGAGATCCTCAGTGTCACCTCTCCTTGCCACCGCGACAGCCAACAAACGACCCCACATCGGGATGCTTCATTTGCATGGCATTACTGATGCATCCATCAACACTAACTCTCAAAATTCTGCACCCTAGGCAGTGATGACCACGCCTCCGCCCCGGCCTCTGTCACCACTGTTCTCTATGCCTATGCCAACCTGATTCGACACTTCATACAAGCGGGGTCAGATTGCCCTAGCTCCCGAATGTGCTTTTTAAAAAAATGTAACAAAACCTTTACTAACATTTTGAACAGATTCAGCTCTCACGGAAGTGGAAGGCTTTGTGCCACCGTGGGGCGCTGCTATCAGCAAGCCTGATGCGTTAACAGCCATTCCTCGGATGCAGGGCCAGGTGCAGAGTGGACTCCTGATGTTGTAATCACAGAGGTGGCCATCTCCAGCAGCTTGCCTGCAGAGCTGAGCCTCTGCTGGTCAACGAGGATGTCTTTGTTCTGCTGGGCACCACCGCTAGGGAGATGGTCTTGCCAGTCAGGGTCTTCACAAAGATTTGCTTCTAGAGCTTTCAGCAAATGCTGGAATCTTCTGAAACACTACTTAGGGTGGAGCCGCCAAAGAATCAGCACATACCTCTTGATAAGGCTGCTGGCCACTGGACCCTCTCTAATTTTTTTTTTTTAAGATTTATTTTTTAATTAGAAAGTTGGATTTACAGAAAGAAGGAGATATAGAATGGAAGATCTCCCATATGCTGGTTCACTCCCCAGGTGGCCACAATAGTCAGAGCTAAGCTGATCCAAAGCCAGGAGCTTCTTCCGGATCTCTTGCATGGGTGCAGGGTCCATCCTCAATTGTTTCCCAGGCCACAAGCAGGGAGCTGGGTGGGAAGCGGGGCTGCCGAGATACAAACCTGTGCCCATAGGGGATCCTGGCTTGTGAGAGCTTTAGCCACTAGGCTACCACACTGGGACCCTCTCTGATGTTCTTAAGGCTCCTTGCCATGGTAGCAGGTGCCAGGAGCCTCTTCCTTCTTCACACTGAGTACCATCCCACTGCCTACATTGATCACATTTTTTGGCCCTCTCCTGAGTTGATGGGCATTTGAGCTGCCCCCGGCCTCTGCCCGTGGTGAACAAGGCTGCCAGGATGTAGCAGTGGAAACAGCTCCTTGAGCCCCTCCCTCAGTTCTTTCGGGGGAAGTAGAATTGATGGGTCAGAAAGTAACTCCATTTTTAGTGGTCTGAGGACCCACTGCACTTCTCCCTGGTGGCAGTTAGGACTTCTCCACATCCTTGACAATCCTCATTCCTGTCTATCTTCCTGCCTCCCTCCTTTCTTGGCTGATGGCAGCCACACGAAAGGGCATGCGGTGGCTCACACTGTGGCTCTGACTGTACTCCCCCAGGGGTTGGCAAGGCATCGCATCCTGTGCTGTTGGCCGGTTACACACCTTTTTGGATCAGTGCCTGTTTAAGCCCTTCGCCCATTCCTCAGTGCTGCGCTGCTTGCCACCGATTTGCCAGAGCTCTATTTCTGCACTGTAGGGGTTAACACATCAACCAATAGATGGCTTGCAAATATTTTCTCCAGCTTTCCTTTTTATAAAAAGATTTATTGAGTACTGATTTAACGAGAGGCAGATTATATAGAGAGAGATCTTCCATCCACCTGCTGACTCCCCAAATGGCTGCAGTGGCTGGGGCTGGGACTCGAACCAGCAGCCACACAGGATGCTTCACTGCTGTGCTAAATGCTGGCCCTATTCTCTATTCTCCTTTTCACTCTGGGGGTTGTGTCCTTTGATGCCACAGGTTTTAAATCTGATGCACTTAAAGGATGTTTTCTTTTGTAATCTGCGCTCCTGTATCACAACCAACCATTGCCAAACCCAGAGTCCTGGTGCTTTTCCCCTCTGGGTTCTTCCTATGATTTGTGTACGGGTTTAGTTAGGCACGTGGTCCATTTTGCCTTAATGTTTGCTTGTGGTGTAAGAGGACTCAGCCTCATTCTCTTACATGTAGACATACAGTTTTATCGACATCATTTGTTGAAGACTACGCATCCCCACTTGAATGGTCTTGACACTTTTTGTCAAAATTTTTATTGGATTTTTTTTAACTGACCCCTTGCAATGGATCCATAGAAAGTGTATGGAATTGGCAAGACTGTGCTTTTACTGGGAGTTGTTGAAAGTGAGGTGCAGCATGGACACTTGGCACAGTGGCTTAGACACTGCACTGCGTATCAGAGTTGCTGGGTTTGAGTCCCAGTTCCACCTCAGTCTCCCGCTAATGTGAAGGCAGCAGGTAATGGCTCAAGGATCTGAGCTTTGGACACCTGTATGGGAGTCCTGGATTGAGTTCCCCACTCTGGCTTTGACTTCGCTCAGTCCCGGTTGTTATTGGCATTTAGGGAATGAAATAGTAAGTGAAAGCTCTCTCTCTCTTTCTCTCTGCCCACTGTGCCTTTCAATTTAAAAATAAGGGCCTGGAGTGGTAGCCTAGTAGCTGGGGTCCTTGCCTTGTATGTGCCAGGATTCCATATGGCGCTGGTTTGTGTCCTGGTGGCCTTGCTTCCCACCCAGCTCCCTGATTGTGACCTGGGAAAGCAGTCTAGGACAGTCCAAAGCCTTGGGACCTGCACCCACATTGCAGTCCCGGAAGAAGCTCCTGGCTTTGGATCCACTCAGCCCTGGCCATTGAGGCCACTTGGGGAGTGATCCAGTTGATAGAATATCTTCCTCTATTCTCCTCTCCATATATCTGACTTTCCAATAAAAAGAAATAAATCTTTTTTAAAAGCTATTTCAAAAGAAGAGAAGCAGAGGGAGAAAGATCGTCCACCAGCAAATTCACTCTCCGAATGGCCACAACGCCAAGGCTGAGTCAGGCCAGGTCGGGAGCTCCTCTGGGTCTCCCAGGGCAGTGGCAGGAGCTCAAGCACTTCAGCCTTCGTCTGCTGCCTGCCGGGATGCACGTTATGATTTCATTTAAAATTTTTTATTTGAAAGACAGAGTTACAAAGAGAGAGATCTATTGGGTCACTCGCCAAATGCCCACAATGGCCAGAACTTAGCTGGTCCAAAGCCAGCAGGTGCTTCTTCCCGTCTCCCACATAGATGCAGTGGCCAAGAACTTGAGCCATCCTCTGCTACCTTCCCAGGCCACAGGCAAGGAGCTGGAAGGAAAGTGGAGCAGCCGGGACATGAACCGGCGCCCACAAGGGATCCTGGTACAAGGAAGGCAATGATTTAGCCACTAGGCCATCAAGACAGGTCCTTATTTGCGTTTTTTATGCATGCCGTGGGAACACCTGCTACTAGCTTAATAGCGATGGTGCAAACACGTGGCACTCTTCTGGGTCTGACCACGTAGCTCCCTCCCACATTTCCTTCTGTCACACAGAAACACCACAGGAACAACTATAGGGGTTCCATTTGTTTTGTGCAAACATTTCCCACGTGTCGCCCTCAAGATTAGCCTAGAGCTTGCTCAAGCCCCCACTTCTTCCCATCCTCTCCCTGGCTTTGGGGTGCTGGCTCCTGCAGTTCTCAGCCTGCTTGGAGAGCTGACTCTGGTGTGGCACAGAGACTCAGAGCTGGGCATCTGGAGCTGCCATGCTCTGGCCTGTTACAGACCCGAGAGTCCTGCCATGGCTGGGGGGTGTGCAATCCGTGCTCACGTTACACATGTCTCTTGCAAACCCACCGGCATGCCTGCACCCACCCTGTAAGAACAGCCTCGGAGCTGTACCCAGACCCAGGTGACCTCCATTTGGGTTGAATCAACTTAAACTTTGGCTCCAGTGGGCAAGTGTGGAATACGAGAGCTGGGAGGAGAAGGTCAGAAACCTATTCTGGGGTGTTACTTTGCAAGGCAAGTCTTACCTAAGGACAGAAGTCCCCACCTCACCCCTGGTGCCCTGCTCCTGACACGAGGCAGAGCACCCCCTGCTGGAGGCGGTGGTGGAGGTCTGGTCACCTAGTGCAAAGAAAGGTGACCCCAGATCTCAAACACTGACCAGGGTCAGGTGTCCCTGGCAAGCACACTGGTCACCTGCTCTGGCCCTGTTCAACCTCTGCCCTGGAAGTGTTTAGGCCTGCAGCCTGCTGCCCCTGGGAGGATGTCCTCACTGCCCACTGGGCAGCTCGCGTTGAGGGAAGCCAGATTCCAGGTCTTCCTTTTTCCTAAGGCAGCCACTGCCCTGGTCAGCCAGCATCCCCTGGACTAGGCTGGGGTGTGGGTGGGTGCAGGTGGCTGTGGCCTCAGCCTGGGCAGGAAGTCTCAGAACAGCAATTACTCTTCCATCACAAGCACACTTATCTGGGGCAAAGAATCTTCTCCTGGAGCCACTTGGAGTAGGAGCCACCTGATAACTCCTCCCCCCCGGAGGGCCAACAGTCACTCAAACTGGGAAGTCAACCCACAGTCCTGTCAGGGTTTGTTCACTGACCCAGTAGCATCATTCACAGCAGAACCGAGCTCCTTATCACGGGCGACACTTCCTGGTGCTGCCTCCTCAGCTGACACAACCTTGACTTTGGGTGGTTGTAGCTGGTTATTCTGTAGCATTTCCGCCAGTCTGCTTCCTGTGACCAGATACAGGCTCTGCATCTCAGACAGAAACACCAAGAGACACATCCTCTCTTCCCATCCTGGTCAGGGACTCGCCGTGCCAACCTGAGCCATTCTCTACTCCCACGGTGGAGTCTTCTGAGCCCCGCCATTACGACATGACCCCCCACGCCTCTCCCAGCCCTCAGCATGCCCTTCTTGCCCTGGTCTGGTTGTGGCACCTGGCACCAGATCACCACCCCGCCAGGATCTCATCTCACGTCATTCCCATCACCACCCACGAGGTGGGTCCATGATTGACCCCATTTCACACTCCAACCACCCAAAGGCCGGACACCTGTCTGTGGGCACACAGCCAGCAGGCAGGAGCCGGATTGGAACTCGCTCTCACAAGGGCTCTTCTAGTTCCCTTCTGCTGCGGTTTCTCTTGCTTTGACCACTCACCACCCCACGTAATGAAGCCCAGTGGACAGACAGGTGTCATTCCTCACGTGTCGGTGGCTGACCACTCCCTGCTAAGGCAATTTTCTGTGGGGGTCCATGGCACTACGCCCCAACTGCTCTCACCCTCCCTTCGTCAGCCCCCACTACTTGCTCTCTCTCTCTCTTCCTCTTGGGACTTGCATGGCTTAGGGTTCGACTGCAGCTGCCTTCTCTTTTCTGACATTCCCCACTTCCAGGGTCTCCCCAGTGAACACAGCGCCTGTTCTCCTTGCTGTCCATGCCAGCCACCTCCCCTTTGGCCTGCAGCTTCTCCCCAGTGCACTTGCTGTGTGTCTGTCCCCTTCTCTCCACTCTGCCTGACCACTGTCACCTCTCTGCCAGGCCTTTGCACCTGCCCCCCTCTACTCTTCCACCACAGTTGTGCCACGCAGGGCCAGTCCCACACCACTCAGGGACTTGACAGCCCTCTCCTCTGAGGGAACGCCCTCTAGCGGCTGGCGTTGTGGAGCAGTGGCTAAAGCCTTGGTTGGCTGCACTTCCCATCCAGCTCCTAGCAGCCAAGGGTGGCCCAAGTGCTTGGGTCCCTGCAACCATGTGGGAGACCTAGATGAAGCTCCTGGCTCTTGACATGGGTCTGAGCTCTAGCTGTTGCAGCCATTTGGGGAGTCATTCTGCATTTCAATAAATAAACAACCTGACAGTTCTCCCATCTACCCCACAGCGACACAAGTGTGACAGGACAACACACGTGTGACGGGGCCTAGGCCTGCAGACATGATATGCCTTGCCCTCCTGCCATACTACTCCTCACAGGTTCCACCAAGGCCAGGAACACAGCCCGGTCCTCCCAAGACATACTCATGGCCTGGCTTCTGCTGCCTCCTCCAGGAAGCTAGGGCCCATGTGCTCTCTGACCCACAGCGCTGTCATTTGCAGGCAGCTGGCTTAGTGCACTGCCAGCTCATGACCGTGCCAGACCGTCTAGATTATCACCAATGGTGGTGGAGGAGTGCCCAGGGCACCCAGTGGAGCATAGTACGGCCCCACCCAGTGGTGATCCTGCGCCTGGATGCCGGAAGTGTAGGGGAATGCTCACCCCTCGTTCCCCATCCTGCCCAGGTCTCTGCACGTCTGACTCCACGTGCTGCGGCTCTCACCTGCCTGCCAGGTGTACACCTGGACCAGGAGCCATAAGGGCAGACGCAGCACCTGAGAGAGCCGGTTCTGCTCCGTTCCCGCTCAGCCCTGTCGGCTGCCCAGGCTAACACCCTGGAGGCTTCTGGGCTTCTTCTGGCAAATCCTTCCAACAGTTTCCTCAAAACAGCCCCAGGATGACCCTCTTGCAGCCTCTTCACGGCCAACTCCCTGGCCTTCTCCTCCATCCCGTCCCTTGGCACTGGTCGCCTGGTCCCCCTGCTGCTGCCCTCACCCCTTTGTGGCCTGTTTTCAGCCCAACGTCTATAACAGTCTTTTATAAACAGAGACCAAGTGAGTTTCCCGCACAGAACCTAGCCAGTGATTCCCCCACCACCCCCGCATGTGGCCTGACCTGCTTCCCCGTGACCTCTCTGGCCTAAGTCCCTTCCTCTGCCCTTTACTCCTTCCAGCCACACCAGCTGTGCTGGCCCCAGGGCCTTTGCAAGGCCTTCTCTTTATGCACCATTTCCTCCTGCAGATGTCTGCATAGCACTGCTTCCTGACTTCCTGAAGGTCTCTCCCAAGGGCCCCTCCTCAGGGAAGCCTGCCGTGACTGTGCTGGACTACTCCAAGCCCCTCAGCCTCCTGGCCCTGTCATACTGTCACCCAGAGCACTAGCCATGATGGCACACACAGCAACATTTCTCGTGGGGCTGCCTCCTGTACGCCTCCAGACATAAGCAGGGGATCCCAGGTGCAGCCTACACTCTGCCCAACACACGGGGACAGGCTCACTGGTCCCACAGAAGAAGCTTGGAGGGACCATTAGGTGGTCAGCAGGGTGCAGTGGGTGGGAGGACCTGGCAGGCCCTGGGGGGTCTACACGCACAGAGGCCTCCTGAGCCCACACCCGTGGCACCTTGATCTGAGCAGCCCCGGAGGGGAAAGGCTGAGCCTGCCAAATGAGTGTGCCCGTGCCTCCAGCCCCAGCCTGTGTCTCCCTGCAGGCCCCAGGCGACCTCCCACCCCCACAAGGCAGGGACCACACCCCAGTGGGTGTCTGCTGTCGCGCCAGTGCCAACACCGCAGCTCCCAGCCACTGGCTCCAGAGGTCAAGGGCGCAGGTGCCTCAGGACAGCCAGGCTGGCAGGGCTCGCCTCCTCCCCACTCTGGCCCTGAAGCCAGGCCTGGGCCAGCTCCTGCCTAAGTCCCCCCATACTCACTCTGCCACTCGGTGATGGAGATCATGTCTCCGGCAGCCTGGGGGGGACTTCCTGCGGGTTGGCTGGCAGGTGGTGAGTGGCCCGGAGTGACAGGCCTGCTGACAGAAGCTGATCCTTGGTGGTTGTGAAAGGAACTATGGTAAATCATTAACCATCCCAACCCCTCAGCTCTTCCCAGGGCTCCTGCCCACCTGGTCCTTTCTGCACCCCTTCCTCCCAGCCAGGTCTTCTCTATGCCACTGGGATGGCACAGGACAGCACGGGAGCATCTGGGGGCAGGGGCAGGTATGGAGGCTCCTGTAGGTTTGGTGAAGGGTGTGGAAGGAGTTGCAATCTGGGCTCTTCCGGAAATGCACCTGCGTGTTCCTGTTCTGTGCTAAGACTACTGACAAACACTAGGGGGCGACAAGCAACTGAAGAAAAACTGCCTGTGTCCCAACTGGGCAGCCAAACACAAAGGGACTGGACCTCCTTCCACAGCCATATGAAGACCATGAGGCCAGGGCAAGACACAGCAGGCTAAGCTCGGGGCGTCAGCCCTCTCTCAGATCAGAACGCCCAGATGCAGCCTGGCTCCTCCGCTTTCAATCCAGCTCCCTGCCTGTGTCCCAGGGAGGTGGCAGATGAAGGCCTGGGTGTCACTGCCACCCACATTGGAGGTCTGGATTTAGCCTGGCCCTGATCCAGCTGTTGTAGGAATTTGGTGAGTGAGCCAGAGAAAGGGATATCTTTCTGATCTCTCTGTGTCGTCTGTCGGGCTGTTTGAGGAGTGAACTACTGGATGGAAGATCTTTCTCCCTCTACTTCCCACAGTTTTAAAAAGAAAATTGCAAAAAAAAATTTTTTTTTTTTTTTAAAAACATCTAAGTAGTCAAACAGAGATCAGTTTTTTTTCGTCTGAAGAGTTTTCCTGGGATGGGCCTGGCAGCGTGGCCTAGCGGCTAAAGTCCTCGCCTTGAAGTGCCGGAATCCCATATGAGCACCAGTTCTAATCCCGGCAGCTCCACTTCCCATCCAGCTCCCTGCTTGTGGCCTGGGAAAGCAGTTGAGGACAGCCCAAAGCCTTGGGACCCTGCACCCATGTGGGAGACCCGGAAGAAGTTCCTGGATCCTGGCTTCGGATCGGCATAGTACCGGCCGTTGCACTCACTTGGCGAGTGAATCATTGAACAGAAGATCTTCCTCTCTGTCTCTCCTCTCTGTATATCTGACTTTCCAATAAATAAATCTTAAAAAAACATATATATATATATACATATATATATATAATACATAGAAGTGTGTAGGCTTCGGCCCAGCTCCATGAACCTTTCCAGATTGTTCTTAGCTGTGCTGTGCCACGGGCCCTGGGATTCCAGCAGCGGCTGTGGCATTGGCTGGGTGAGTGTGTGTGTCCAACTGGGCAGCTGGTGCATGGCCAGCACCTGCAGAGCAGTGAGGGATGGACTCCTGGTATAGCCACAGGGGTGACTGCACATGGCTGTGGTTTGCACGGGAAGACATCTGGGCTCATCCCCAGATGCTCAGCTGCTCCCCAACACTGTCCAACAGTAGCCAGGAGCACCCCAAACCCCACCCTGCGTGTCCAGGATTTCTGAGACCTCCAAGGTCCTTGTCCACAGCCCCTAGGGAAAAAACCCAAATAAATAAAAGATTGGATAGAACAATGACTCAGTCAGAATTTTAGTTTTACGAAAAGATAATACATGATCACTCCGTCCTAGAGCTCTCGTCCTTCTGGGCTGGCCATGAAGTGATTTTTAATGTACATTTTCCCTTCCTTGATATTTTTCTAAACTGCAAGCCGACTCCACCAGAGGCTGTATTGGCTGGCTCCAGGGAAGCAGGCAGTGTCCTGCAGCATCCTCTGTGGCAGCGCTGGCCCTTGTGCTTGGACATGGAGCCACGCAGTGATGTGCTGCAGCCTCACAGTCCTCTCCAGCACACCCCGGCTGAGCCTCAGGGCTCACGTCCTGGTCCCAGTGTCCTTGAGAAGCCAAAGGTATCAGGGCTTCCAGCTGTCCTCGGGATGTCACGGGTCAGACACAGGTTCTCAGATGGCCACGACCAGTGCCCTGCTAGCCCTTCAGTGAGAACAGGGCTCTGGGGACCTGCAGCAGCCACGGACACCAAACTGGAGCACCCTCAGGAGTCAGAAGCTGCACCCACCTGCCCCTCCCCTCACTCCTGAGGCACCTGCTGGTGAGCTATTCCCTTAGTGCACTCCGCTCTTCACCACCCACCTGGAGCACCCTGGGCTTCCTGCTCTCTCTCCTCAGGGTAAGGTTTCCATGGCAAAGCCCTGACCTGGTCCTCCCCAGAGCCCCAAAGGCTGTGCACCAACAGGCACCTTCCAGCATTAGTATGCCAAGTGTCTGGGGCTGGAGGCAACTGGGAGGCTGTTCTGGTGATGTTGGTGATGAAAGAACTCTCCAAATGCAGGATACAGGGCATTGTGTAGTCCTCAAGAAAGGCTGTGGGGACCCAGACCAATGGCTCAATGGCTAAATCCTCATTTTGTGAGTACCAGGATCCCATTTGGGCACCAGTTCGTATCCTAGCTGCTCCACTTCCCAGACAACTCCGTGCTCATGGCCTTGGAAACAGCAGAGGATGGCCAACATGGGAGACCCAAAAGAGGGCTCTTGGCTCCCAGCTTCAGCTCAGCTCAGCTCCAGCACTGAGGCCACTTGGGGAATGAACCAGCAGATGGAAGATTTTCCTATCTCCCCTTCTTTATAAAATATGCCTTTCCAATACATAATAAATAATAATAATAAAAAAAGGCTGGGTGGGGACTGACTTCGCCTCCCACTACCCTACCCCTGGCTCAATGACAAACCCAGGTGTGCTTTGGGCCCTGAGCGTCCAACTCTTCTATTCCATGATGTGCAGCCATAGAACCGAGCATTGCAGCATCCTGGTTGTGACAGTCCCAGCTTTCAGGAAGGCGAGGCCTTCTGGGAGATGCCAGGACTCTGGCTGGGTAACCAACACTGAGCCACAAGGGCAGTGGGGGCATCATACCCAGCCCGGCCCCTCACCCCTTCACCTTCGCTGCCAAGCCTTTCCCACCAGACAGCTGTGGACCCACAGAGAAACATGCACACACACCTTGAGTACAAAGCATCCCTTTTATTTCCTGTATCGTGTTCATACAAACTCGCGACATAACAAATGCAGGGCTGACTGGGATTCTTCAATGCTGAAGTTTCCATGGATGGGCTGAGATGCCGCCTGCTAAGGGGGCAGGGCCGCTGGCTGCTAAAGACGCCAAGGGGGCAACAGCTATGCAGCCCCTCTCATGTGTCTCTAACCTTGGCGCTTCTTCTAAGGCCACTTTACTAAAGAAAGACACTGAGATCAAACATGTCCTTGTAGGTTTTATTGTCTAATACTAGCAAGTCAAATTGGCCCATGGATGTGCATAAATAGATATATGTATGTATGTATATATATATATATATATTTCATATTTTCTGTATGAGCTGCCAGGTGGAAGGGGCACAGGGAAAGGAATGGCCTCCATTGTACTGTCCTCAGTCCTGCCCCCCAAGAGCAGGCCTCCCGCAAAGGAAGCAGACTGGGTGTGCATGTGGCTTGCAACCTCGTTTAAAGTGACAGTAGCAGGGTTTGAGGGCAGCCTGGTGGTTGGTGACCAGAGAGGTATGTGCTAACAGGAAAGGTCCCAGCTTGAGCCATTGGGGCTTCCCCCCAGGGGGGTTACTCAGCCCTGTCCTGTCCATAACTTGCAGCATGCTCTAGGTTGGGAGCAGGGTGGCAGAGAGAGCCAGGGTCAAGAGGTTGGCCCCGAACCTTTGATTCTGGATCAGGACAGACTCTTCCTGCTCCCCCAAGCCTTGCAAGGCAGCTGCCCTCCTCAACCCCCTCAGCGGTCCACCAGCAATTTGAAGGGCAAAGAGTATTGGGCCAGTCTGAAGCTGTCCCTGAACTACCACTCCCAGGGAGAAGGGACACAAAGGGAGGTGGGCGGCACACGTGTGACCCAGACTAGGGAGGGACCAATGGAAGAATGGGTGAAAGACCCACGTGTTGGTGCCAAAGCGCCAGGGATGGCTGGCAGCGCCACAGTGCTGCCTCTGGGCTTCGCAACATCATGGGTCCAGAGGGAGTGCAGACATCCTGTCCCTCCCAGCAGGTGGAGGAGGGTGGTGCTGGAGCCTGGTGGGGGTGTGCCCACTGCCCGTTGGCATTTGTAAACATTTGCTCTGGGAGCAATGCATCTTTTCTGGGTGCCCCGGAGTAGACAATGTTGCCACATTCTGATGTTTGCAAACTGGTGCCCTGGGTGAGCCCTGGGGACCATCCGAGGGCAGAACGGGATGAGGGAGAGGCAGGGGGGCAGGGGGACCCAGAGGCAGCCACCTCCCCGTCTCCTCACCCCTCCACCCATCCCACCCAGACATTGCACATTTTGAAAATAGATTTGCTTTTCTAACAAAAGCATAAAATAGATCTGTCTTAAAATAAGTCTTTCCTCGCCCCTTCTTTGGAATCAAAATGGCACGGGGTACAGACAGCTGTGACACGCCAGGAAACATACAGGGAAATCTAGGCGCGACAAGGGGCAGGGCAGGAGGCAGGGACCAGACATTCGAATGAACATTTCTATATATTACATATATATCTGGATGTTTATCATCTCCATCAAACATATATTAAGGCATGTGAAGCAACATAAAGAGCCAGCTTTATGGAGTAGGGGGGGAGAGAGGGGGCGGAGATGCAGGCAGCATGTCTCAGCATGTCACACATGTATTTCTAAAAACATCACTTTAAAAAGAGGGGGGGAGTAGAGACGGAGGGAAAAAGGGAAGTGTGTTAGGGGACCTGCTTCTTGTGGCAGGATTAGGGGTATGGGGGTAGGGACCTGGAGGCCAGCCCCACCCGCCAGTCTGCACGGAGGGGAGACTTGAGCCAATCCAACAGCGCAGGTGGCAGATGGAGACATGGAGGCTTCACTCAGCCTGGGAGGGGCAAAGGTCAAAGGTCATAGAAGCCCCT